TGCTAACTAATGCACTTGCTGAAAGGATCGATCTTAAATCTCATATTTTATTTCGTCTACAGAAGGAACGAATAAACAACAGAAACAACTTCAAACATCATCATTACAGCGTTATAAACCCACATATCCAGGTTCCAATATACCCTACTAATCCTGTAAAAAAGAAAATTAAAACATTCTCTAGGTTACGCATGGGTCATACAATTTTAACCCATCAACACCTAATTAATAAGAACACTGACAACAAATGTCCCAAATGTGGCGCAATAGTCGATGTTAAACACATACACATGTACTGCTATATCAACAACAACGCACTTTTCTACAAAACGATGGATACAACATGCTCAAACCCATAAATACCCAAAATATTGATCTCATCTAAAAGCAACAATGTAATAATTTAAGAAAAAATAATCACTTATCATTTATATCAAAGTATTAGCTGATGGCCTTTGCTGCCAATGCTTTTACCCTCTCTGTATTATTCTTATATTTACTATAAGTATATTTTTTAAAAATAAATAAAAAATAAAATCGTGCGCACACGCATGAATTTAGGTACGACCCTGAATAAAACATTAATTTAAAAAAGTCCCGTTTAAGTTTTCCAACCAAATTGCCAGTAATTTGGAAAATTATTGTTTCGGAGCATGAACAAAACAAAAAACTATTAAACTCAATATTTATTTGTGTATACCTTATTTTGGAGGACACATTGCTTTCCAGACTATTATTCCTTCTACTATCGAAATTCTTTAAATTGGGCTTAGAATTGGCCTAGAAATTATTGATTTATTAATAGAATATTTTGCACCCAATTGAAGTCTGTGCAAGCCAACCAAGCACCAAGCTTAGGATTTGTTGGAGATGATTAAAATTGTGAAACAAACGAACATTTGATGCCGGCATATTAGCCAGGGACGCAATATCACCTGAAATAATTAATATTTTAATTTCCTATATGCCTAAAGGACGTGCAATTGTCGTCCAGATAAAGGATACGAAACGAAATATTGAGTTTGACAGCTTCTTCTGTACTTTAAGTTAGGATGTGCTTTAGTCCGCTTGCATGACGAACTTAAAATTTGTTCTGAGGGTCGTACCTAAATTCATGCGTACGAATTTATTCACCTCAAATGTTAAATGCATGTATTTCAATGAATGTTACACAAATACGCATTGCGTATCAAAATATAAAGTTGACATTTTCAACACTGACAATGCTTATTTTGAATTCTTTGTTTTTTGAAAATAGAATTTCAGTCATTGAAAAATTTGTGTTTCTATAAAAGTAAACATTTTTCGATCAATTAAAAAAAATGTTTTCATCTATTTTCGCCGTTTTCAATTAGCACAGATGCAAATAAAGTCCGTGCGTATTTGGGTAATACGGAGTCTAACAAACTCTATAAAGGTGAGTATTTTTGTACGGTGCTTAGGTTTTGGCAGTTAGTGTATATATTTAGACAACAAATTTACTATGTTTGTGAAACAATTTATTTAAATTTTTACCGTCGTTGTAGATAGTTGCTGTTTCACTAACTTTGCTAGGCAAATTAGTGAAATGTCTTAAGAATTTGAAATTATTGTCATTGAATAAGTACAGGGATATACATATATATACATATACATATATATATATATATATTTGAAATTATTGCCATTGAATAAGTACAGGGATATATATATATATATATATATATTGCAATTTCAACTGAAAGACTGTAGATAAAACTTACTTATTAAAAGCCGATGTATCACTAACGTTGCGGCGATGTCCAGATGATGCAATGCTTTGCTGTGAGGTTTTTGGGGGTGAAAGAAGTTGCTCGCAAACATTGTCGACACACGCAACCGTTTCGGAAGTAGTTTCGTTTGATTTTATAATAGTGATGTCTGCACTTTCATCATGCTGTTCTTTCGGCGAAGTTATCTCGCTAAATGGATCTGGAAAGCCAGTTGCATCAAATAAACTGCTCAACGCTTCCGAAGGGATATTCTTAGGGTTTGTTGTGTTAACTAACACTTCGGACGTGATCTTCGTAGTAGTTGTCGTATTCGACGACTCTGCATTTGCCGTGGTGGGGAAGTTAACTTGAAATTGTTCCGAAACAGGCTGTTGTGGTTGTGGAGACGTAATGTTGGTACGTGGAGAAGGGCTTGGTGGTAATCCCAATCCCAATGGCTTCTGTATGTTCACGGCTGAAGATCCCTTGGGTCGTTGCCTAGGTGCCACACTTGTACCAGATTCTACTATATTGACTGTTTGCGGCTTGACAGCTTTTGTAATAGTTGAAGACGTGCGCTTAGTTTCACTTTCAAATGGAGGCACCGGTAATTGATCAAGATTAACAGCTGGCATCTTCTACAAGTACATAATACATATGTTGAACGTTATGACTTCTACAAAATACTTATACTTACTTGCAAATTTTGAACAGGGTTTTCTTTTCCACTTAAGCGAAAAGCAACATCACAAACTTGCCAAATATTGGGACGCTTATCGGCGTCTATCTCAAGCATAAATCTTATCAATTGATGCATTCCCTTAGAATATTTGGAATTGTCTGGTATAGAAAATGTTCCATTCTGTATAGCTAATGTACTCTCCCCAAAAGGCAAACTAAAGAAACAGAGCTTGTACAGCAAACATCCCAGTGCCCAGATATCGGCCTTAGTCGTAATATTTTTTCCACTAAAAAGATCTACCATTTCAGGAGCCCTGTATGAAAGCGTAGTGTATTTTTGGATTTCCTCTTCAACTGTAGATACACCGTGTTGTTGCGGATTCAAAACTTTCGCTGTAGCTGATCCAAAGTCACAAAGAACAAAATTGCCAGCATCGTTCTGCAAAATATTTTCCACTTTCAAGTCGCGATGTATAATTGGAGTTTGACAATAATGTAGCCTAGAAACTGCTTCAGCAATATCACAGAAAATCGTTAATATTTCCTGCTCCGTAAAACCAACTTGCAGGCTATAAAATGTGTAATTTGTTATCAGTTAGGTTCAATAAAATAATATTGAATATTTGCTTGCATACCGGGCATTCATCATTGACAACATATGATTTTTACAATACGGCATTAATAATAAAACTTCACATACGCCATTGCCAGTATGCGTTATGCTGGAGTCGATATATCCAATTATATTTTTGTGGCCATTTAGATTGCTCTGCAAATAAAGAAAAAAACGCTTTAAATACCCTTAAATAATCTGTGGCATACTCGTTTCTTACAGCGATTTGAATTTCCCTCTTGGCTACGTTTAAGTCGTGCTCATTGTTGACATACATTCGCTTAAGTGCGTATTTAGTATTACCTACATTAGCTCTCGCCAGAAAAACCATAGCAAATCCGCCTAGAAATAATACAATTATTGTTATTAAAAAATATTTAATTATGTTTCATGATAATATAGACAATAATTTTAGACATAGTACAATATGCCGATTAACACCTGCAGTTATTACAGTATCAGACGTTATTGTGATTCCTTTAGTAGAAAACGTTGACAATTAAGCTATACAGTAGTTTTGATTTAGCTGTCTTTCACATAGCTTCACTATGCATTTAGGCGCCTAAAACGCCCTTATTTGGTACTTTTCCTCAGATTCTATCTTAAATATTTTTTATGCGCACAATTCGTACCTGCACATTTAATATAACAGTTCAGAATATGGACACTTATTCCCTCTCACTATTAAAAAATGTTGCATTTAGCTGCCCTTACTTGGTACGTTTCCTCTGATTCTATCTTAAATATTTTTTATGCGCACGATTCGTACTTGCACATTTAAGATAATAGCTCGGCATATGTGCACTTATTCCCTCTCACAACACACAACACAACAATAAATATATGGGAAATTACAAAAATTTTTTTAAAATTCCATAAAAAAATGTTGAATTTTTTTTTGCGAGCACATTCGTATTTTTTGGTACATAGGTTAAGCAAAATATGCTGATTCGAAATCTGTTCTCGTTCACAAATTCGGATGCTGCGTACACAAGTTATAGCGGTTTTAAATCTTGTATTTCAAATATAAATTAAATGTATTTTTATTTGTTGTACTTCGCGAACTTCTTCACAAATGGTTGAACACATTTGTTTTCTTTGCATATTAGTCGACTCACATTGAAATACGATTTAATAGTCGCGAAAAACAAATAAAGCCATGAAAATATCTGGAAATAAAATAAATTAATTTTTGAATTGCCACAAAATGATTTTTCGAATTTTTGATTTTTTGGTATGGTTAAGGGAATACGGTTTTGTCTAGATCTTCTAAAACATGATAGTTAAATATCGGTAGATTCATCTGTTAAGAGTTTCGACTTTAAAAATGACCAAATATATTGCAGTTACAGTATATGAAAATGATCAACATTAAAAAGCATGCAGTTCGCGTATTTGTTGAAATCAGTTGTTGCGCATGCGGTTTTCGTATAAAGCGAATCTATCTCTTCCAGAAATTATGAATTTTTCGATGTTTCATTTAGCGACCAAAGTGTGCCGCTCGATGCACTTTACTATGCAAAAACCCTAAAAATGGCTACAAATGACGCAACGTGCATACTAAAAATCGTATGCGCATCAGATTTCAGTGGGTGGCGTAGGGGATGATAGATACCAAGCAACGGCTCTGATTAGCTTTAACATGGCGAAGCCCAGGCTTATCTTGGTCCCTCTTTCATCTCAATTGTGGACACTGACCTCCCCGCGGTGCCACCTGGGGAGCTATTCTCATCACCCGATGAAATAGTGAGCTAATATGCCGCGAGTTCACCCATAAGAACTATAAAAAAATGGGTTGAGGCGTCGGGTTAGTTGCCCACTCTCGGAAAACCCAACCTACTATGAAAAAGCAAAGAAAAAGAAAACCAAACCCCCCTAATGTTGACGACCCCCGCAAACGTATAAAGGACCACGATCTGCGAATCTGCACTTGGAATGTGCGCACGTTGTACAGAACAGGCGCAGTGTTCGCTTTGGCGGATATACTCAAGAAGTACAAAGCCGATATTATTGCCTTACAGGAAATGCGATGGAAAGGGACAGGCGTAAGTAAATCAGACGATTACGCCCTGTATTATAGCTGCCATGAAACGAGACATGAATTTGGCTGCGGATTTATGGTTAACAGGAGAATAAAAGACCTTGTCTCCAGATTCACTCCAGTAGATGAGCGAATTGCTATAATCCGTATAAAAGCGAAGTTCTTTTACATCAGTCTAATTTGCGCCCATGCTCCGACCGAAGATAAAGATGAACAGACCAAAGATATATTTTATGAGCGCCTAGAAACAGCATATGACCGTTGCCCTGGCCATGACATTAAAATTCTGCTAGGAGATTTTAATGCAAAAATCGGAAGGGAAAATATCTTTGGCCCCACCGTCGGAAAATTCAGCCTTCATGAAGAAACATCCGAAAACGGCATGAGGTTGATTGACTTCGCGGCAGCAAAAAACATGGTAGTTAGCAGCACCAGATTCAAGCATCTCGATATACACAAGGCCACCTGGATTTCTCCTGATCAAGTAACGAGAAATCAAATTGATCATGTTGTGATAGACGGAAGGCATGCATCCAGTGTTTTAGACGTCCGATCGATCCGAGGAGCGAATATCGATTCGGACCATTACCTTGTGGCAGCCAAGGTACGCACCCGTCTAAATGTTGCAGCAAAGGTGCGATCTAATACAACACGGAAACTCGACGTCGAAAAGCTGCAAACACAACAGGTAGCCGAGGCCTACTCCGCTCAACTTACCCATCTGCTTGAAGAAATCACTTCTTGTCCCGATAATAGTATAGAAGCACAATGGCAAAGAATTGCCCACTCCCTACAAACTGCAGCAAAAAGAACAATTGGGTACCAAAAACCACCACCAAGAAACCCATGGTACGATCAGGAGTGTCGTATTGCTACTGATGTGAAAAACGCAGCGTATAGGGCAACCCTGCAGACAGTAGCAACACGTAACGTGATGGAGAATTATCGGGAGAAAAGGAGAGAGGAGAAACGTGTTTTCAGAAAAAAGAAGAAAGAACAAGAAAAACGTGAGCGTGAGCAAATCGAGATGTACAGGAGTCAGAATGAAGTCCGGAAATTTTACCAACGAGTAAAACACCAAACCGAAGGCTTTGGTGCAGGCACATCCTCCTGTAGAGATGAAGAAGGAAACCTGGTGACAGATACAGACAGCGTGTTGAGGATCTGGAAGGAGCATTTCGAAAAGCTGCTAGTATCAAATAGTGGCAATGAAGAAGATACCCCAGAACCAATAGGAGATGATGGTATAGAGTGTATACCACCTAGCCAAGATGAGGTCATAAAAGCAATTAATCGGCTCAAGAACAACAAAGCAGCAGGAGCCGATGGGTTACCAGCCGAACTATTCAAGACTGGTGGCCAGATGCTGGTCAGGAGCATGCACCAGCTGATTAACACAATTTGGCTAGATGAATGCATGCCCAATGATTGGAACCTCAGCATCCTGTGTCCCGTGCACAAAAAAGGAGACAAGACGATATGTGCCAACTATAGAGGAATAAGTCTCCTTCCCATCGCATATAAAGTGCTATCCAGTGTGCTGTGTGAACGATTGAAGCCAATGGTCAATGACATCATCGGACCATACCAATGCGGCTTCAGACCTGGCAAATCGACCATAGACCAGATTTTCACTCTGCGCCAAATCCTGGAAAAGACCCACGAAAAACACATCGACACATATCACCTATTTGTCGACTATAAAGCCGCATTCGACAGCCCTATCCGTTCAGAGGTGTTTAAAGCCATGTCTGCGTTCGGCATTCCTGCAAAATTAATACGGCTATGCAGGATAACTTTAAGTGGCACAAGGTCAGCCGTTAAAGTAGGAAAGGACCTATCGGAGCCCTTCACTACCGAACGAGGATTCAGACAAGGTGACAGTTTGTCGTGTGATCTTTTTAACATCCTACTGGAAAAGGTCATACGAAACGCAAAGGTGAACAGAAATGGCACTCTGTACACCAAACAACACCCAGTTACTCGCCTACGCC